CATTAGCACCTCTAGTAATATATTTACTGAGAAAAATGGTGACGTGTTCAATACTTATTTTACCCGCTGTATGCATATGTATTTATGTATATGTGTATTAGTATGTATCATGTGTATATTGTGGGGTTGTTTTTGTTTGTTTTCTTTTATTTATCTTTCATTGTTCTTCTCAGCCTCTCCTGTATTAAGCTGCAGTAATGTGCAAGTTTCCCCACTGTGGGATCAATAAAGTTTTATCTTATCTTATCTCTTATCTTTTAATGTTTTCATTAATTTATGTATATTTTTAATAACGTGTAGTTATTACTTTAAAGACCTTTATAAACATCATACACTATTTGATGGGAAGCTTTTTTTGTTGACTGATTACATTATTGTCTTTGTGAATTACATCCTGTGTCATGGAAGTAACCAGCTGACTGTGTTTTGTTGTTGTTGTTAAAATTTTGTAGTTACAGACATCGGACTGATAGCCTGTAGCCATGGACGCAACCAAAAACAATGACACCAACAATTTCCTCGACATTGAACATTTGGATTCGATTCTCAGCAAGCACAACTCAAACTTCATCTGGCTTCTAGTTGGTGAGAAATTAAACATTTTACTTTGGGGAAAATAGTTTAAAAATAGAATTTTTCCTTCTTCCTGTTTGACTGTGTTTGTTGCATTGTAGTGAATAATTGAAAACGATAAACAGATGTTATTCAGTTATCTATATCTAATATTGGTAATTTATTACTATGTAAAATGCTTCCTTTAGGCATAAAAATAATGATAGCTTTATTTGTTGTATGAGTCATAATTGAATTTGCTTTTTCAATTCAACAGTGAGTGAGCAGTTTTAATAAAAACTGACCTTCGGCTCAATTGGAAATGAATTTAATTGATTAGCATAATGTTCTCTCTTTTTCAGCCACCATTCTGTCCTGTGGATGGATCATTTATCTAACTTATTACAATTCACGCAACATTGGCTTCATTCTCACCCGCATCGTCAACAGACTTTACAAGGATGGCTACATTCAAATCGGTGAGTTCATCAGGACRCATGATAAACTGGGAGGGGGTGAGGGGGGACGGGGGGTCTGCCAACACTTTGAGATAAAACTGTTAAGTGTGTCTGCAGCATCTCATCGTCATCTCATAATGAGATAGGATCCCTCTGATTATTCCAAACAACAAAGTGTAACCAATTTCAGATTAGATTTCTGCACAGAAAGGACAAAGGAATGAATTATAAAAATAATAAATAATTAAAAAAATAAATCCAACAAAAACCCTGCAATGTTGAGCATGTAATTGGTTTTCTCTTATAGTGATTTTGAAACACAGAAAATGTGCCTGCTTCCTCGACATTTTGTGTTAACAACTAGTCTCCAACATCAGTGCTGGTTTTTATTGTACAGTGTATATTTTAAATCGGGTAACGTTGCACATTTTCACATTTTCTCTGGAGTGATTTTATTTGTGTTCGAGACTATATCTGTCACTAAGAAATCTGAAGTTAAAGTTTCGTTGATGTGACATCGATGCTATTTTCTGAAAGTCTGTAAACAATTCTTTAAAAAGTCCTGATATGCATCTCAGTAATCCAGGTAGAAAAATTAAAAAGAAAAAATAAGTAGGTCCTCTGGATGGGTTCTTCTTTAATGAAATGTTTCGTCTCTCTTCCAAGAGACTTCTTCAGTCTGAGGAGTTTCAGGTGAATTCAGCCTTATAAGCTCCGCCTCCACATGGACGAACAGGTTAGTCACATGCAAAAGAGGACCATCAGCCAAACAATTCGTCATTAGTGCCTTGATTAGCTCTATTGTTCATAGAGGGTCATGTGTCCCTTCACCTGACTATTGTTGGGGCCCCGATTGCTCACAGGGGGCGGAGTCATACTTGCAATAACAGCGTTGTAGGAGGAGGACAACTGGACACGAAGGCCTCCACATCTGTTTAATGGTGGACAGATTTTCTTCACAAAAAATGGCTTCCTTTACTCTTCTCTCAAACCAACGTTCCTCTCTATCAGGGATGAGAACATCTTCATTCCTGAAAGAGTGACCG